TGGTTCCGTTGGTCCGGCTTGAACGGTATCTGGGTGCCTGGCTAGCGCTACCCAGCCTGTCTTGCTGGCTTCTGCGGACCATCAGCCTCGGCTATGTGATTCAGTTTGCCCGGCGTCCCCCTAGGTTCAGTGGCATCCGCTTCACGACAGTGAAGGCGGCCGATGCTCCTGTCTTGCGTGCGGAGATTGCAGTCCTACTGGCGAAGGATGCAATGGAGCGGGTCCCTCCAGCCAATATGAGTACAGGGTTTTACAGCCCCTACTTCATTGTACCCAAGAAAGGCGGGAACCTGTTCGTCGAGTGGTGTTCTTCTCACCGAGAAGACCCTCGGAGATGCCCGATCAGGGTCGTGCTTTCATTTTTTCAGCAAGGGTTGGAGCGAAGGCTGTCTCCCTCAAACCTTTAAGTCTATGTCGCAAAAAAAAACAAAAAAACGATTGCTGCTAACCGTTACCCCGTGGAAGGAAATTCGGTAGGGAAGCATGACCTGGTCATCAGGTTCCTTAGGGGGGCGAGAGGTTAAATCCTTCCCGGCCCCTCTCCATACCCTCTTGGGACCTGTCTCTGGTGCTTAAAACACTACAGCAGGGCCCATTTGAGCCTTTTGCAGGGTCAGTGGTACCCAAATACTCAACAAAAGAGCAAATTCTTCTATCTCTGGGTCCCCAGAGGGAGTTGGTGTTGAACTGCTTGAATACATTCAAGGGCAGGACAGCGGTCCCAATGAAACAATGTCAGAGGCTCCTGGGGCATATGACAGCTGCAGTCATGCTGCAGGGGCTGCTTCATATGAGACCGCTCCAGCACTGGCTTCATGGCAGAGTCCCGAGGTGGGCATGGCAGCGCGGCACTCACCAGGTCCAAGTTACACTGGCCTGTCGCCAAACCTTCACCCCGTGGTCAGACTTTGCGTTTCTCTGGGCAGGAGTGCCCCTAGAACAGGTTTATGCGGATGCCTCAACCACCGGCTGGGGGGCCACGTACAACGGGCTTGCAGTGTCAGGGGTTTGGACGGGGCCCCAAAC